ACTTAATGTAATGTGGCCAACCAGAAATTCACTATTTGCTTGAACCTTTTTTATTTTGAGACATTTATATAAGCTCTAAGATCAAATGCAACCAAAAATTTTGTAGGTAACTAAAACTCATTTGAGGCTTCATTTGAGATAGCTTTTCATTATTATTTTTTATTACTTTTAAGAAATTTTTGTACTAAAAAATTATTGCATAACGCAATAAAAATATTGTACCAAATGAAGCCTTAAATCATTTTTAAACACTATGAAACCCAAAAAAATAATCATTACTAGGTGATGTGAAGCATCCATTGTTGAGCTAAAATTAATAAATAACACATCTTGGAGGAGAAGTTATTTTCTCGATGCTTCTGTGGTGCTGCTAAGGCTTCGCCCTACCTGCCTCCCGTCGTCGAACCTTCGTTCTCTGCTAGAGGTCTACCCTAATCAGCTCACGTTTGGTGTTGAGGGGAGTTCTCTTCACTTGTTCCTTTTTTATATTGCCATTTTTTTCTTTCACGCTCGAGCTTTTCGTTTACATTCTACTTGCTCATATTGGGCCAATTCATCCACCTCTGCGGGTCGATCCTGGTTTTTTGGAAGGGTTGATCAAATCGCGCTTGTTCCTTGATGCTTTATTTGGTTCTTCTTCTTCTGTGTATTTTCTCGAGCTTAAAACTACTACATTTCATGGTTTGACATTTTCATAGATTTCGAAGGAGGAGATTTGTGCCATAGCTGAGCCTCTTAAATTTGTTTTAGTTGATTTTTCCCCTCTTGTCGTCCTAGTCTCGATTATATTCAGAGTTTCTTTTTCAACCTTAAGTTGATTGGAGAGTTCTCGTTTACCATGTCGGATCAATCTCATGCTTTGATCAAGTTGGGGAATGATCTTGATTATAGTAGAATTTTATTTCATAGATCATATTTGGTTTGTAATTGCTACATGAAATCAACCAATGTTTAACTTTAGTTGATATTGGTGTTGAATATCTAGTTATTCCCATTTGGATATCATTTCCCTACTTGCCTCCTCATTTATTTTCCCCTCATATCCTCCACGACATGGGACTATTATTTGGATGTCCGTTAAAAGTTAATAATGCTAGTGATTTATGCTCTCGTTCGTTTGTTACCCATATTTGAGTTGAACTTGATATTACTAAAACATATTCTAATATAGTGTGGCTTGGCCCTGATAGTTATGGCTACATACAACGGGTTATGATGGAGGAATTCCCTCCCTTCTGTGATAAAAGTAAATGTTTAGGGCATTCGATCGGTTCTTCTCGCCCCATTCATGCTTTTGTCTCGATGTCTGACAATGTTGTTCTTTCAAATCCGATTAATACTAATATTCATTCTGATATAAATGCTCCTGATGTTGCAGAAATTATGGATAATGTTACTTATGCATTGCCTGTTCTGCTGATCAAAGCTTTGGTTGTTAATGGGAATAATGGCTCTCATATGGTTAATGAGATAAATTTGGATACGTATAATATCAGTTTAATTGATGGTGGTGTTGACCCGTCAACTGTTACTTTGCCATTGGTTTTATCTTGTAATAACATAGAGGGTCTCAATGTGGGCATAAACCCTGAGGATCTCAATGCGGGCACCAACCCTGAGGATCTCAACTGTTACTTTGCCATTGCTTAGTTAACCTGATAGCTACTTAGTCCCCTAGTTCTATTGCTGGAGGTGGTGAGGACAGTGGTTTTGAATTTACTCATTTGGGGCCTAAGGCTGCTTGCCCTATGGGTAGTTTGGTTTCGGACTTACATGTAGTGAATGTTGGGTTGGATGATGAGGATTTGCCTATTAATAATAATGTTGTTGTAGATGATGAAATTAATGTTGATTTGAATGCCCTCGCCTGTCCCACTCAATGATATTCATATTTCTCTTATTGCAAAGGATGATTTACGAGCTCATTTAGCTGCCAACTCGAAGTAGAGTGTGGTGGTTCAAGGTGACTGGCGTGATGAGTGTGATTCAGCCTCTAATTGGGATGTTGGGGATGAAATGGATGTGTCATTAATGAATTCAAGGGAAATCGATGAATTAAATATGATAAAAATTGTTGAGGATGATTTTTTTAAAAAAGTTGGTAAACACAAGCAAAGGAAATAAAAATAAAAATAAGAAACTTGAGTTTTTCTTTTTTTCTTTGCTAGTGTCCTTAGGGCTTGGCTTGCTGGTTGTGCTCACAGGTGCTTTGAGAATTAGTTGTTGTTGGTCCTTGTGGGCCTTGTGGTGTCTTGTTTTGTTTGTTTGGGGCTTGTTGGTTGTCTTTTGTTTAGGTGTTGGGTGGCTCCTTCTTGGTTGCTTATGTGGTGAACTTTGGTATTTCTGTGGTGACTTTTTTGTCTGTTTGTTACAGGATGGTTTTGTTTATTTGCTCTCTTGAAGGTGGTGCTTCCTCACTTTTTTCCCGCAGGGTGTTGTTGTTTTGCTCGGCGCTAATGCTAGCTGCTTCTGGTGCCCGTTTTGTTATGTTGTTGTTTTTATTTTGCTTTCTTTATGATTGTAATAGTTTTGATCCTTTAGCTTTTAGGTTTTGCTTCAAATATTGTATTTTTTAGTGAACTTTTGTAGATCTTTTAAGAAATTGTAACTCTTTTTTAATGAATGCGTAAGCCTCTATGTGGATTTCCTCAAAAAAAAAAAAAAAAATTGTCTCGAAGATGAAGCATGGTTGAATCTCAAGGGAGAGTCCTAAAACAAACATATCAATTTGATAATCTAAGTAGAAACTTAGATTTGATTTTAAGATAAAACAAATTCGTGTGAATTTCTAGAAGAAACTGCCAATATTATTCGCCCAATAGAAACTATATATGGCAAGAACTTTCACAAAGTCCATCATTTTGTGGTAAATAATGGTGGAACCTCTCTTTCTCTCACACACACTCATGATACCTAATTATTTTATTTTTTAGGCTATTAGTACAAAATTATTATTCTTTGATTTAAATTTATAAATAATTAAACACAATAATTTATTTTTAATTCAAATAAGAATAACAAATTCTCAAATACAATTCATGATATTAGTTGTTATTATTAATTAACAGATTTTATCCAACCATTTTGGTAATAAATCATTGCTAATGATGCTGGGGTTATATGACTTCTAATAACTCGAAGCATATATATATATATATATATATATATTTCCAAAAAAAAATATCTTGACAAATTGGAAGTTATGTTATTTATAAAATATGATAAACTAACACGCTTCTTATAAAATTTTAAAATTTATATTGAGAAATGGAGAGATAGACAGAGAGGGGGGGAAGCTGATGGGAAGCCTGCTGTGCGAAAGGGGCAAATAAGCTTTTTTCAGACCTCTGAGAAGCACATCTTCTTCATTACAGTGTAAGAAGAAGGACCAAAGCCAGAATGGTTGTGTCCTTTTCTTCATCAGCATAGCTTTATGGGAAGAAAAAACAAATAAACATGTTGGGAAGTTTCCGATGGAAAGAAGAAATATTAAATAAGTACTTATATAAAGTAATTCAGAGACTAATACATTTCCAGATTGAAAGCAAGCTTGCACTATACTCAAATCTGCAATTTTTTTTTTTCAACATATATTTCATTATAATTTCTTGAGAACTACTGTTGTATTTATCTTTCTTCCCTTTTAATATCCACCATTCACTCATAGAACTATAGAAGCCTCAATGACAACTGATGTCCTTGTACAGGATCAACAGTACCTGGAAGAAGACAAAGAATTGCAAGAACAAACAATGTAGGGGAAAAAGCACAGGGAAATACCTCCTTGTATTACTCTGTATTCTCTTGAGAATACCGAAAATTTCAGATCACAAAAAGCTGTGTATTCACCCCCATTTTCAGCTATAAGTATCCTGTATTCTTCCCTAATTCTCTTATGTAATTGTATAAAGTAAGAATACTAAAATGTAAAAGTGCTGTCAGAAAAAGGTGAAAAAGTAATACTAGGTAGTGGAGTTCGTTAGGCAATGCCAGCTTATACCGCCGGCTTATTTTAGTTAACCTGAGCTGCATCAGTCCTCCCCGGCTTCAGAAGAGCTCGACTCCGACGAGCTGATAGATATAGGTGCGTCGTCTGAGGAATGATAAGGCCAAATGTCCGCCACATTGAAGGTAGACGACGTATTGTATCCTGGTGGTAACTCCACACGATACGCATTATCATTGAATTTGGAAATAATAGGAACAGGTCCTATTTTGCGGCGAGCTAGCTTGGAATACTCGCCGGGTGCGAACCTTTCACGTCGGAGACGAACCATGACTAGATCCCCAACATTGAACAACTGCTGCCGTCGATGTTTATCCGCCGCCTCCTTATAACGTTGATTCGCAGAAGTGAGTTGCTGTCGAACTTCATTTAGGATCTGTGAATAATCTTTAGAATAGGCAGCCGCTTCGGTAGATTTGCACTTGGGCAGGATAGTGAGATCAACTGTGGTATTAGGGGCTTTGGTATAAACAATAGTGAATGGAGCTTTACCTGTGGAACGGTTTGGCATGGCATTATAGGCGAATTCCGCTTTGCTCAAGACCTCTTCCCATTGCTTCGGGTTCTCTTGTACTAGGCAACGAAGCATATTACCCAAGGTGCGATTGACGACTTCGGTCTGCCCATCCGTTTGTGGATGATATGCTGAACTAAAACGTAGTTCCGTGCCCAATCGTTTCCATAATTCACGCCAGAAATGGCTAAGAAATTTGACGTCGCGGTCTGATGTAATACTCCGAGGCAAACCATGTAGACGGACAATTCCGTTAAAGAACAGGTTAGCAACCTGCAAGGCATTAGAGGTCTTTCTACAGGAAATAAAATGGCCCATTTTCGAAAATCTATCAATAACCACTAGTATGGAGTCGTTGCCACGTTTCGTTCTCGGCAGCCCAAGGACGAAATCCATGCTCAGATCTTCCCAGATTGAATCGGGTACCGGCAACGGCATATACAATCCAGCATTTTGTGAAACTCCCTTATATGATTGGCATACAGAACAGCTCTCAACCAGACGGAATGTATCCCTTCGAATTCAGGGCCAAAAGAATTTTTCTTGGAGCTGTTTTAGTGTATTATCTTTACCCAAATGAGCTGCTAGTCCGCCCCCATGAATTTCGCGAATAAGATGTTGTCTCCAGGAGGACTGCGGAATACACAAGCAATTTTCTTTAAAGAGGAAGCCATGTCTAATGGAGTAATGTTCAAACTGAGAATCTTGTAAGCAGTAAGCCCAAATGGAACCGAATTCCGGATCTTCTTCATACAGCTCTTTTATATGCTCCAAGCCCACTAATTCTGTTTGTAGTTGAGTCAACAAAATTGATTTTCTGCTGAGTGCGTCAGCGGCTTTGTTATCGGCCCCTGGCTTGTGTTTGAAAGTAAACGAAAATCGTTGGAGGAACAATAGCCAGCGCATATGCATCCTATTGACATTCTTTTGAGTGTTCAAATGCTGTAGTGCCTTATTATCACTGCATAGAACAAAATCTTGATGCAACAGATAAGACTCCCACTGCTTTAACGCACGGATGATTGCGTACATTTCTTGCTCATAAGCTGTCCACTTTTGTCGAGCTGAACAGAGTTTTTCGCTGAAAAATGCAACCGGTCTTCCCACTTGGGACAACACCGCTCCAATACCGATTGAGGAGGCATCCGTCTCTACCGTGAAGATTCTGTCAAAACTCGGTAACACCAAAACAGGTGCAGTAGTAAGTGCTGCCTTAATCTGGTTAAAACTTTGCTGCTGTTCGTCGCCCCAGTGAAAACATTTAGACTTTAAACAGTCGGTAATAGGTGCCATTATGATACTGAAATTTTTGATGAAGCGCCTATAGAAGTTCGCTAATCCATGAAAACTACGTATATCAAAGAAAGACGTGGGAGTTGGCCAATCCTGAATGGCCGAGATTTTACCTGGATCCACGTGAATGCCTTCCTCGGATACAATAAATCCCAGAAATCGGACAGAAGCTGTTGCCAATTCGCATTTCGGGAGGTTTAAAAACAGTTTGTTCATGTGTAGAACTTCAAATATGGATCTCAAGTGCTGGAGATGTTGTGGGCGGTCATTACTGAATACCAAAATGTCATCGAAGTATACCACGCAGAATTTCCCAAGGAATGGCTTTAAAATTTCGTTCATCATACGCATGAACGTTGAAGGTGCATTACATAAACCGAAGGGCATCACCCTCCATTCATACAGCCCTTGAGGCGTCTTAAACGCCGTCTTCCATTCGTCGCCAGGACGAATGCGAATTTGGTGGTATCCGCTTCTGAGATCTAATTTAGAGAACACGGAAGAGCCCGTGAGCATGTCTAGCAGCTCTTCAATGCGTGGCATCGGGAATCTGTACTTGATAGTGATCTTATTTATAGCTCTACTGTCGACACACATTCGCCAATTTCCGTCTTTTTTTGGTACCAGAAGAGCGGGCACCGCACAAGGTCTCAAGCTAACTTGGATGAGTTGTTTCGACAGTAAATCATCCACAATTCCCGCAAGAATAGCTTGTTCTTTCGGATTAAGCCGGTAGTGTGCCAAATTTGGTAATGAGGCTCCCGGTATAAAATCGATTTGATGTTGGATACTCCGGAGTGGTGGCAGCTCGGCAGGTAGTTCATCTGGTAAGATTGCCTTATACATCTCAAGGACCTCAGTAATATCCTTGGGCAAATTCTTCGGGAGCGTACTAGTATTCACTTCAGCAACAATCAATGCCAGCATCGGTGCATGTTCTCTCCAGCATTGCAGCAGGTTCGATCCAGAGACCAGGTGGGCGACTGTTTGTTTGTTAGCTCCTCTCGCGGATCCTTCAGGCAACCCTGGTAACAACCTCAATTTCCGTCCCTTCCAATCAAATGAATAAGCATTCGCCCGACCTTCGTAGTGTGCGTCGACGTCGAACTGCCAAGGCCTGCCTAGTATCAAATGACACACGTCCATATCGAGGACATCGCATAGCACTTCGCAAGCATAGTGCTTGCCAATAGAAAATTGAACTGTGCAAGCTTCGGTGACCATAATCTCCACACCCCTCTTGACCCAGCCAATTTTATAAGGTTGCGGATGTTTAGACGTCTTCAAGTGTAAGCCGCTGACGACTGATCTGGATACTATGTTCTCAGTACACCCGCTGTCAATAAGAAGGTCGCAAACCTTGCCTTGTATGGTGCACCTTGTTTTAAATATAGCATGGCGCTGAGAAGAATTGGGTCCCCGCGGTGCCAAGAGCAATTTCTCCATGACTCCAATAAACGGCTCTCCCTCATCTGCCTGCACTTCTTCAATCTCGGCATTCTCCTCTAACTCAGCTATTGCTGCGTCATCCTCATCTTCCAGTTCGGCAAACTGCAACTGTTGCCTTTGGGGACATTCATTAGACTTGTGTCCCGGTTGAAAACAGCGGAAACATTTCAGAGTATTGGGTCGTGCATATGGGTTGGTGTTAGTAGTGGTTTTAAGTTTGTTCGCCGTTTTTCCTTCACCGCCCTGGTTAACAGCTCCATTTACAGATGTGCCCGTATTGGCTATTGCATTGGATTTTGTCACTTGCTGGGAATTGCTCTTAGAACTGGCTGTGTTCTGCTCCTGCCAATGCCTCCTATTATACGGGGTCCTAGTCTGCCGGTTCTGTTGAACTTCCACTTTCATTGCCAAATTCACCGCCTGTGGCATTGTCCACACCGAATTGAGCTCCAATTTATCTTGGATGCTATCCTTAAGGCCCCCAATGTATCTTGCCACCATTTGGGTACCCGATTCTTGTAAATCGTTTCTGGCACTCAATCTATTAAATTCTTCCGTGTATTCGCTAACAGTGCGTGTCCCTTGCATACAATGTTGGTACCTCATATAAAGTATTTGCTCGAAATCTGTGGGTAGAAACTGTGCCCGTAACAGTTGTTTCATTCGGCCCCAGGTATTTATCCGGCTTCGCCCTTCCTTCCTGCTGCTTTGCAACACTTGTTCCCACCATGCGCTAGCTCCGCTTTTCAGACGACACGCAACATATTTAACTTGTTTCTCAGGGGCAATCTCCATATAATCAAAGAAATTCTCAACTGCCTTTTCCCAATCCAAATAGTCTTCAATGTGCAAATGTCCATCAAAAAACGGTATGTCCAATCTCACCTTGAATTCACCAGGATAATGCGGAACCTGTTGTCTCCTTCGGTGTCGCTGCTCATTCACTATCCAACCATCTTCTGACTCCTCTTCTGTGGAATATCTCGGATTGCTGACTCGACGACGAGGAGGAGTCTCGTCTTCCGAGTGTTCTGGGTCAGCAAAATGCGCCTGTACATGTCTGGCCTGGTGTCCATGCGTATTTCGACCGCGAGGAGGAAATCTGTTCGCTAGAGCTTCCTCCCGATGTAATGCTGGTGAGTCTCTCGCCATATTGGGATTAAACCCTTGGCGGATTGCAACCGTCAATCGCTGCACGTCGGCGGCGAGTTCATCAATTCTCCGATTGAGTTTCTCCTGACTCGCCCATAATCCGTCGATGGTGCGAGTTTCTTCCCGCACAGGTTCCTTGCCTCGGTCAGTCATTTCCTTCCAGATTTTTTTTTGGCTCTGATACCAACTTGATGTCCTTGTACAGGATCAACAGTACCTGGAAGAAGACAAAGAATTGCAAGAACAAACAATGTAGGGGAAAAGGCACAGGGAAATACCTCCTTGTATTACTCTGTATTCTCTTGAGAATACCGAAAATTTCAGATCACAAAAAGCTGTGTATTCACCCCCATTTTCAGCTATAAGTATCCTGTATTCTTCCCTAATTCTCTTATGTAATTGTATAAAGTAAGAATACTAAAATGTAAAAGTGCTGTCAGAAAAAGGTGAAAAAGTAATACTAGGTAGTGGAGTTCGTTAGGCAATGCCAGCTTATACCGCCGGCTTATTTTAGTTAACCTGAGCTGCATCAACAACGGTCATGTCAATATATCTTTTTGCTTGCCTTGTGTCCCTTTTTATTAGGATATCAAATTAATAACTAACTATGACATGATATTCCTGTCAACCATTGCATAACATCTTAAGTTTTACTTTTTAGTCACCCAATTAATCTCTCATCTTAATAAGAGAATGATCACATTGATTGCTCATTATCACTAATCTTTTAAAGTTTCAATGAACTTTTGTTCAATTGTATCTATTAATGGAGCATGAAGTTCATCTTCTTGATTAACAATCTCTCATTCCATCATGAGAGCAGCAAAGTTGAAAAGTCATTGTCGCTCACCTTATTATATTTATCGTTAATTGTTGTTTGACACTGATTTTCTAATGATAACTCTGGCAGTTTAAGACTTCTCCTGTTACAAACATAAGAGATATGTTATGTTATTCAAATCTATTACATTATATTAAGCGGAATTATTTCGACAAGGACTAATCTCATGATTTTTTCCTATTCCAAGCTTTCTTCGTAAAAAATTAGTCATTTGCATGTTGTTTTTCAATTTATCCATGCATGAGAGGAGCTTTAGCACAATCTTCAAAAATTAAATCATTTCTACCATCACAAATATATATAAATATATATATATATATATATATATATGTGTTATTTGAACCCACTTTTATAAGATGATCATTTAAATTCATAATCTGTTTGGGACGGTTGTAATTTTTTATAAATGTTATTGTAAAGTTTGATGTAAATTTTCTTTTTTTAAAAGTCATTATAGAAAGCAACTTCTTAACACAATAATTTATTTAAAAGTTATGATTGTGATATGAAAAATGTAGCATAAAGAAATTGTCCTAAATAAATTCTTAGAAAAGTGCCATCCATTTTTTATTTGAAATATTTTTTATTTATTCACCTCATCTAATCCTTATACAGTATGAGTTTTAAATTTTAATTTTATATTTTTGGGAGTACAATATTTATATTATTTATATTTAACGAAAGCTCCAACGCATCTGACCTATTTTTGCAATAAAACCCCTTGATTTATAACTTATTGCTTGAAAAGGACAAATGCAAAGATGCATTGAAGAACTCCCCTTCAAAAAGAAGCTAATAAAAACGGAGCGCTAAAAAGTGCATTGTTTGGTATAGTTTTTACTGTTTGAACTTCCAAAGTCATTGGAGGGTGCTCACAGTTAATTCCTCCTCTTCACATAAATATTACTTTCAGAGTAAAAGCAAGGGAGGATAATGTAAATAATTAATATTAAAGTGGAGTTCAGAGAGAAAAAATAGTAAAGAGATCAGACCAGGGTTTTCACTCCTCGGTCATTACTCAGCTCTCTAGCACTTTTTGACTACCCTTTGACCGTTGAATATTATTATGAGTATTACAAATTTAAAATATTTTATGATCGAAAAAGATGAAAGACCTCTGATTTATTCTATGCCTATAAGATGCAGAGCTTTTTTTCATAGATTTATAAAAATTATTATGAAAATTGGGATAAATCATGCCCTATTATAATCAAAATATGATTAGCAATACAATCTTTATGCTGATCACTCCAACTCGCTCATTTGAATTGAGGCTTACTCAAGAGACTAGTAGTGGTATGATACTAGTAATATATTAATTGTGATATCTTTGATCAAGGATATGAATATAACAAATTATATATATGGATTATGAATGAACAAGCAATGATAAATTAAAGTTTATTGAGTCAGATTGATCATCCGAGTCATTTGTAGATCAAAGTTTAACATATTGAATTTGCACTTGTCAAAAATAATGACAATATCATATCATTTTTATTGAATATGATGTTCTCTATAAAAAGAGTATTTAACCAAAAAAAAAAAATCATGAATCATATGCTATAAATAGTAATGAAGTCAAATTTTCTTAATAATTTGTATGGTAACAAGCACACACTTTTGTGAAAGATCATCTTCATGGTACTGCTACCATTGAGAGGTTGTCCAGGCCGATGATATTAGAAACAAAGTGGTGACCAACTCTAACTATTAAATTTAGCTTTAAGCGATCGAGCAAACTGTCGAAGACGAATTCAAAGCCAACTAAACCATTTGGCTATTAAAACAAGCCTAATTCACAATCATGCCATCCTTTTTCTCTCCCCTACTCTAGCTCCATGCCTCCCCCTTCCCATATTCATCATATCATCCAAAAACAAACAATTATTAGGAGGATCCATTGGATCCTTATCATCGACCGGGAATTATTTTTAAGAATCCCATTTCTTTTGCTTCTAATTTTGAACATCCAATAAATCATGCCGATTGATGTTGCAGTGGCATAAGAAATACATATTCTAATTAACTAGCATCGAATTACTGAATATATCTCAACTTTATTTAACAAGTATGTATACACTAGTTTAATTATAAATTTAGTTAATAACCCATGCATGCCTTTCTCTAAAAACAAACATGTTAATTAAGTACGTGCTCCATATACTACAATCTGATAAGCTTAGTTTCGTGTTTAATTAATTGCATAGGAGATCGAGACTGGTCTAATTGAAAGAGCTATATCTATTTTTAAGAACTTACTGAAGTTCATTCCTTCATAATTAAGTTGATTTTCTAAGAAATGGTGGTGGATTTAATTTCAACTGTACAAAACACTTACAGGAATACTGAATTAAAATAACTATGCTTCTGTAGTTATCATGACAACATAGGCTTTCTCCAACACTTGTCATTGTGCGAAAATATTAGTGCTATATAAATGAAAAAACAGAGAAATGAACAGAAAAGAGAAAACGAGAATTGCAAGAAAGAAGAAGATGATCTATTATTTTTCATCTCGGTACAGAGTACACATAGGTGTCTATATATAGATAATAGACAAGACCTTGTACAAGCTCACCCAATAAGATAATGCCATCTGTAAAGGTATATAAGTGTTATTGTAATTTGTGTTATAATAATAAATAATTGAACAACAATAATTAATAAGCCTAGCTCCTGGGCTGATCACATTAATTGAAGATCATCGATCCTTTGCCCACTATGAAAATGGCACATTACATCAAAAACGAATCAAAGTGCAAGCAGTTTAGCCATTATAGAGTTGGGCAAAAAGTAAAGATCCAAACCAAATAATGGGAGTGGAGCATTAATAATCTATTAACAAAGATACAGAAGGAGTTAATTATGCCATGGGCTTGACCTAAGAACACACAGGCATCTTAATTTTTAGTGCATGTCTCGATCTGTGCTTATGGCGGAGCTTTTCCCATGAGCTATATATAATGATCACAAGAAGAATCCTCACGTCCGTATCAAACGCAGCCATTGAATTGAAGAATAACTTACGACAGAATTAAATGAATAGCTTGCGAACTGCGAAGCTATTAATATCAGAAGTTTAATTAGAAAATGGAAAAGAAGACGGCGAGGGTTAAGAATCAGAATTAACCCATAAGTTTTTTTTTTTTTTTTAATGCAAAAGCATTGATATAGAATTATAACATTGCCTCCTAACAGAAGAATTTATAATGATAAATTTAAGTTTTCAACATATGTTCCTGGCCTAAATAAAAAAATTAAAAGTTCTTTTTTTTTTTTAATAAAAACTACAAGGCAATAAATCCTGGCTTGTAATTTCATAACAGCAAAATGTCTTTTAATTAATTTTAAGTTAAAAAAAAACATTATTCATAAATCCAAATCTAACTTCTAAATTTTTTATCAAATATCTTTTACCTTTATCATAAAATTAAACCCATCAACACCTTGTTGCATTTTTTTTTTCAACAGACATTTATGTCATTGTTCACATTGCTTCTCAAAAACAATAATTTCATTGTGTCATAAATATGCAGAAACAAAAGTTCCAGTGCCGTGCTGCTCTGAAAATATTTATGAACCAAAAATATATTTTCCGAACAACTCATCCACCTACATCATAATACATGAATAGTAGTATCAACTTTATTTTTTTCTCATAAGATAATGCAAAAAGCCAAAATACAATCCACGGAGCAGCAAAGCACACAGTGCGTACGTAGTAACGACGTTACCAGCCAGAAGGAGCAAGTGAAAATAAACGAAATTATAAAACAAATTATGCAAACTAATTTTGGGTGAAATTTTCAAACGCCAGCTAAAGTACAATACCATTCCCAAGCTTATTTATTAGATAAAGGATTCAAGTAACAGTATTGTTCTAATAAAATCGCAGTATCTCCCACAAAGCACAAAGTAATCAGCAAATGCCATCCCTAATCCACATTAATTAATTTATCTTACAGAATCTCATAATTATCCATTCTTAACTCGGCACGTGACTACAAATAAGCGGGTTCAGATCTGGAGACGCTGTAGTGTACGTAGGCCCGTCCGTCTATATATACGTCGCCCGACACCACATGCATGCATGGAATAAGAAACTACTTAGGAGTATAGTGCACGGCTGGACACGTGTCAGCTACCCAATCCAATCGGAGAAAGAACGGTCCGACAATGCTACTCTTCTTTTCCAGATAAATTAAAATATTAAATAACTAATGTGGAGAGTTGATTTATAGCAGGCATTATTAATAATTTCTACTGCCTCAGTGTCCCTTACAACGAACGGGCAGAAGGAAAAGGAATTAGCTAACATTTTGTCTCTTGTCTTCTTCCTTCGTTCCCGTTTTACCCACCCTCAAAAAAGAAATATCATATACTAACAATCATGTTTCCACTCTTTTTGTCTCTCTGTTTTTTTTTTCTCTTTTTTTTTTCAATAGGAAATAGATTTTTCTTTTTAAATTTATTGGTTAGGTATTGGTCACAGAATAGGCAAGGCGCCGTAGTAGAAGTGCGGCGCTTTTTGGCATCTCAGCCGTTGGATGCCGATCCAGCGGTCTTTTCGCTTTCCAAGCCGGCGCGATGGCGGTCGAGTACAGTCACCGGCGTAAGAGCAGAGTAGCCCGAATCACAGCCGTTCGATGCTGCCTCAATCCCGGCAGTCGTATCGTAGCTCTCCATCGCGGAGCAGCATTCTGCCAAAGACTCCTGATAATATTTGTAGAAATACCCTCAACAAAACAAGAAATAAAAAAAAACATATAGAATAAGAGGAAAATGTAAATCTATGGTTATGCGCGCACTTTATTGAGATATTCACAGCAGAGCAGGGCAGTGCGGAAGGAAATGAAATGAGCAGGGAAGAGTTCGCGCGCGGCGGCGAGAAGCGCTGCCGCAGCGATCACCGAAGGCTTGAACTCGAGCGATTTGACATCTATTTCCAATCATTGAAAAATAAACAAATCGAAATATATTTCAAATTTAACGAAAAATGGTTAAAATCCAACATTCGGATCAAGAAATATTTACCGTTTTGGGATTTGAAGAGGATCTGAGAGGCGTGGGTCTTGAGAGATTGGATGATGATTGGATTCGCCAGGGGAAAGTAGGACGTGAAGAATCGGAGAAAGGAGAAGGGCGTGATCGATCGCATCCGCCATTCAAGCACGCCGAGCACGAGCAGTTCCATTCGCCGGATGGTCCGTGCATCGAAGATGAAGCCCTCCTCCCTCTGCTCCGAACAATTTGGGGAAAATGTTGAATCGATCGGATCGAGATTGTTCGATAGAAGAGGTGAAGCTAGCTTCACGGTACCTGTAAATCAGCAGGGGAGAAACTGGTCTTCTTCATCTTTGAGGCGAGGGAGACGCAGGAAATGGCGAGGAGTCGCGCGATCCATGGCTTCTCATTCTGCAACAAGAAAAAATCGATCAGATCGGATATTGAGCAGTGCCGATTCGGCATTGGAGAGGTGATTAGATTACCGGGATCTCGCGTTTGGCGAGGAACCGATCGATATAGTTGACAGCAAGGTAGGCTAGTGCTGGATCGAGATTATTGCTGAACTGGGCCTGTAATTGATCAGATAGATCTTTCATTAATGAAACGGCACCAGTGAAAGCAGAGGAGAGTGAGATCTTGTTCACCGGCTTACCTGGACGATAAGGGAGAGGGCATGGCAACGGGTGGAGAGCTGGTCCAGAGCAACCGCAAGCGAGCTCATGTGGTCCGATTCAGCTGAGAAAAGCAACGAGGGCTCGTCGGAGTCTGTGCAGCCGATGAATAGTGCTTTCGAGAGTTGGATGTTTTGCTCATCGCTACCGGAGAACGGGTTCTCAAGGTCGAAGTCGAACTCCATTGCTAGTTTCTTACTCTTCAATCCGGCTGTGTGAGAAGAGGAAGAGAGAGAGAGAGAGAGAGAGAGAGAGAGAGAGAGAGAGAGAGAGATTACAGTGGGAGGAAGCAATTAAGAAGGAGAAGGGGAAATCGAGTTGTTTGCTTTATAAAGGTGAAGAGGTAGAAGCAGTTGCATTTAGCAAGCCGAGAGCCTGCGAGTGATCACTCTCTCTAACATGATAAAATAGGGAAATACATAGCTTGTAATTAATTAATTAATTAATTGTTTGTTTCCATTAATTAAATTTGCTAAAAAGAAATTCACATATGGAAATTCACAGCCTTCTATTCGTGTTACACTGCATTCGTTTTATCAACTCAAGCCTCCATTAGAGAGAGAGAGAGAGAGAGAGAGAGAGAGAGAGAGAGAGGGACGAGGGAGAACCCAATAAACGGTAAAAATCCAAGATTTTAATTATTGGAATTTAAATTTCATAATTTTTTGAGAGTTTTATTAATTAAAAATATTAAAAAAAAATACCAGTTTCATCTTTATAAACTATCATGTAGATAAGAAGATAGAAATACGAATAAGATATGACAGAGATAAATGGTACGTCGACTATTGAAATAAATAATTAATTTAGCATATCATTTTATTTTTTAATTAGAAATATTAGACAAGAATAACAATTAGATATAGTTTTATTATATTATATTTAAGAAATTTTATATACTAATTATATAGTTTAACAAAATAAATAATGAATTTATATAATAATACATTTACTCCGATTCTCACGAAATAAAAAAAAATTATGAAATACATTAAACTCAATTTAAAAAGAAATAATTGTAATAAATAAATTATATTGCAAATGAAAAATTAATATTAAGTAGCAATTAATATATTTAACATATGTTAAAATAAAAAAAAGATGGATATTAACTTAGTTTTTATGCAATATAAATTAAAATTAAAATCAAAATTTTATATTCAGGACCAGTTGTCTGTTACTTATTTTTAATTGGATACATATTCGATTTGTGAGACATATATTGAATATGTTTTCAGCAAGTGCAAGTGCTTATATGTGATTGGCCCTATGCACTTCATTATTATAAAATATTAGAACATTATAGTCAAAAAAATTAGAAACTAAGATAGAAATTTAATTTAATTTAATTGATATATCTACTAAAAATTTAATTTGTCATGTCACATCTTAACTCAATTTACAAATCTCAAAGTTGCATTTAACTCAGAAGCTTCTGAAAATAACTTCAAGATCATTTGAATTTCATTATTACTTAACTTATAACTAAAAATGTTCATATCAACGAGACTAATGTGACACTCAGCATTGCTTAATTAAGATGTCAATAAAATTTATAGATTTTCAAATTAGATCATTTTTTAAAGGTTTGATAGAAGAGTTTTTTGAATTTGAACAAAAAAATGTCAAAAATAAAAAAATATATATATAAATATGATTACATTCCACACTTGAGAGGGACTAAAAAGCATATAAATTTCTCATATTTGAAAAATCTTAAAGCTCGTCCACTATCAAGCAACAACAACTATCACAATCTAATAATAAAGTCAGTTTTTTTTTGCCTCCTCGCGACGCTCCTTTCGCTCTACTAGGATTTTGCAGCTAGGATTTTGCCCTAGCTGCTCTTCCGGTGCGAGTTTAATGCTCTTCGCCTCTGTTTCTTAGTCGGCATCCGTATGGATTCTTCACGGAAGTTGCCTTTCCTTCTCTTTTTGTTGTTCGTCTTTCGCTGTTCTTTTCTTCCAGTTTGTCAGCCTCGTCTTTCCTCCTCAGGCCCTTTGTTGCCGGAATGGCAGTCCGACGAGTTGCTGATCTGGGCTTTTTGAATGGTTCATTTAAATTTCGGTCGTTTGTCGATGCCCATTTGGTTCTTCCTCGTCGGATTGTTTCTCTGAGCTCCGTCAATGATCTTTTCGTGGTTTACCCTCGTTGTGGATTTCTGAGGAGAAAATTAGAGCTATTGCTGTGCCTTTTCAATTCGCTTTGGTTGATTTTTTCCCACCCGTCGTCCGTCTCTGGACGCTATTCGCAAATTTTTGTTGCTCTGAAACTCAATCCTAAATTCTCTATAACGGTGCTTGATCAGACACATGTTTTGGTTACACTTTCTACTGACCAAGACTACAGCCGTGTGTTCTACCATCGTTCTTATCTGGTGAATAACTGTTTAATGAAGCTCACTAAATGGTCTCCACTCCTGGACATTGGCTGTGAACATACCGATTTTGATTTCCTTTCCAAACCTGAAACCTCATCTTTACTCTCCCCGTATCCTTCACGCCTTAGGTTCTATGTTTGGTAGACCCTTGAAGGTTGATTCTGCCACTTCGGTAGGATCTAGGCCATCCCTTGTTCATGTTTTGGTGGAGCTGGATATTATTAAAACTTATCCATCTCAAATTTGGTTTGGGTCTGAGGTTTCAGGGTATATCCAAAAGGTCAAATTGGAAGTTTTTCTTGATTTTTGCGACTCTTGTAAGCGTCTTGGTCATCTTAGGGGCCACTATACTTTGGATCCTCAGTCTAATTCTAATACTCTTCTGGCTGGGAATGGTAAGCATCTTGCATTGGGTGTATCCTCTTTTGCTATTAATGAGAAGAAGGTAGGGGAGGATCTGAGTCCAGTGGTTACTTCTGTACTAGGGATTGTTGGTTGTGAGGTTGTTCCAGTGGCCTTGGCGGAGGGTCTTGTTGTTTCGGATAAGGATAATGTTATCTGTGCTGTTTCTAGTGAGTGTAAGGAAGCTGTTGGTATAATTTTAGATAATGTAGGCATGGATTCTAATGTTGTGCGTGCCATGAGCCCAATCCCTTGCTTGGTTAATAATGTTCCCTCTCCTACTGCATCTCCCCCTATTGTCGAAGAGGAGGAAGTCTTTTTTTCTGATTTGGTTTTGCTTGTTAATTCGATGAGTAATTTGGCTTTTGTTAATGTTGGTGTTGCCGCTATTTCCAGTCTGATTTGTCCAGTATATTCCCCTACTGCCCCTGTTTCTATTTCTGTGAATTGCTCGGCTGGCTCTTAGGCCTGTGAAGTTGTTGTGGGAGGGGTCCCTTTGTCTGTGGACACTGGCTATGCGAGTTTAATTGTTCCTCTCTGTGGTGTGAATTATGTAGCTACTCCTTTAATTAATGGTGGTGTGGAGTTTTCGGAGGCTATCTCAGTTTCTTCAGCTGATGGTGGTGATGTTAATTCAGGTGGGGTTGGTGTGGCTCATTGTCCTGGGGTGGTGTAGCTTCCCTGGTTGAGGTGCCTATTTCGGTCATTTCTAATGCTAATTTACAAGCCCACCTAGCTAGGAACAGTGTCCAGTGGAAATGTGATTGGTTACACGATGATTTGCTGTTTGAAGGGGAGGATACTTTTGATGATGGTTTGGAAACTTGTTTGCTAGATATTGTTATTAGAAATCATAAACGAAAGTTGAAAAAAAAAATTATTTATTGGGCCTTATTGTGGTTTGTGGTTTTTGGTTTTTATACGATTTCGACTGCCTTCGTTGGTTTGAATCTTGACAATGAGGAAGCAATTATTCTACCTGCACCTGCGATGGCCAGGGTTGGGCAACTGTGGTGGCCTTGGCTTTTTTGGATCCTCACTGGATGACCCTCCCTTGTAACTGGGTGTCGGTATGAGTTTGTGTGGATCCGTTTTTAATTTGATTTTTCGTTGATTGTACCTCTACTGATGTGGCATGCTCGAGGTCTTGTGGTGTATCTTTATTTTCTTTAATGTCATTTTTATTTTGGTGAAAAAAAATAACTATCACAATCTACTCTTCATTAGCCAACATCAACGGCCATCAATGTATGATATTGCATTACTAATTTTGCAACAATCAACCATTGTTGTTGGCATTCATGTAATTATATCTTGTTACATTTTTATAAATTTTTGAAGTTTTTTTTTTCCATTAAAATCTATCTTCAAACTAGCAAGCAAAGGACAAAAAATTATATTATAATGATATAAAAACATTATTTTCTTTCTTTTTTTCAAATGTAACTATAAATTAAACTATTAATGATATCTCTACAAAAATCTGCACGATTGGCATGAATCTCAAGGCAAACTTAGAATTGGAAATTTCTAGAATTAAATTACAAATCATATGAAATCCAACTTCAACAAGTTTATAGTCAAATTGAAAGTCTCAAGGTAATCTAATATGAACCCCAATTAGCCCAAATCAAACACTTAATTTATGATTGGAAACTTCAAATATTAATTAGGTGACAAAAGGATCTCCAAATTCAACATGCTTGTAGTCAAATCGAACAGCACAATAAGAAAAATCTAACGAGTCCAAGATCATTAAATTTTAAAAACATTATGACACTTAAATGCTAAATAAACGTTTTGTGATCAATGGAATCAACATGGGTTGTATGATGGATTGTTTTGGATTCTCATTCAAATTATCAAAATATGTCGCAAAAAACATGTAAACAGTGCCTCATTTTTTCATATGATAGGGGACTAGAAGAATAGAGAGAATTAAAGAGAGAGCTCTCTTGCCTTTTCCAATCATCATTACATACGACCACCACAAGCTATTATCACATAAAACCATTATCGTTGTCGACGATCAGCATAAAAAATACCACCATCTCCAAAATATTAAGATGATTTAACCCTGCTAATAGGTATAACTACCTGTCTATGAACACCTTTTTATATTTCCTATTGGAGAAATTAGACTCTGTTGTTCGGTGTTAATTGTCCTTGTGTGGACACTTGGTTTCTATTATCTTTCTCAGGAAAAATTAAACGTCCGTTTAATCCCCATATTTCTTCAACTCTTTCTTCAATATTAGTGAAAAAAGGAGGATTCTTATATTACTTTTTTTATATCACTTACTATATAGTGGCCGGATTTTTCAATTAAGTCAGGCCTCATAGTTTTTTCCTTTACGGGAATTTCACATAATTTTTTTTAATCTTACTCTTTTATATGTGCATGTTAATTTTTTTTACAATTCTAATATGTAAAATGTACACTTTGCCTGCTCAAATTTTCTAGTGTGCAACAATTAGATACTTTTGGAAGACATTGGACCTTACAAGCGGGTTGAATAGAGGAAAGTTCTATAAAATACTCAATAACATTAGAGATTTGAAACTTGTATAGTATCTACTATAATCAGTCCAAAAAGCCT